ACACACCACACTGCATGACAAACCGCGCTTGGGTCAGAGCGAGCTACGCCCGACACCGCGGTGCGTGCCAGAGCCATCGGGGGTTCTGTAGCTGAAGAGGAGCGGGTACCCCGTGCACACCCGGTGCACACCCAGTGCACAGAGGCATCTCTCCAGTCGCACACCAGCGAGTAACAGCCCAGCAGCGAGAGCATCAGGGGAGTGTCAGCTGAGGTCTGATGCCAAACACGAGCTTGAGAGGTTTCCTTACGCTGTGCTCGGTGCGGCAGTTGGCCCAGGCTCCTACCGCAGTCTGACCTCTCCCTACGCCAGAAAAGGAAGCTCTCCGTACAATCCAACCGCATCCTGGGCTGCAGCAGAAGTGTGGGCAGCAGGGTGAGGGAGGGGATTCTGCCCCTGTACTCTGCTATGGTGAGACCCCACCTGGAGTGCTGCGTCCAGCTAAGGAGCCCTCAACAGCAGAAGGATATTGACCACTTGGAGCGAGTCCAGAGGAGGCCACAGAGATGCTCCGAGGGCTGGAGCCCCTCTGCCATGGGGACAGGCTGAGAATTGGGCTTGTTCAGCCTGGAGAAGAGGAGGCTCCGGGGAGACCTTATAGCCCCTTCCAGTATCTGAAGGGGCTACAAGGAAGCTGGGGGGTACGTTTTACAAGGGCCTGTAGTGACAGGACAAGGGGGAATGGGTTTAAATTGAAAGTGGGGAGGTTTAGATTAGGTATTAGGAAGAAATTCTTCCTGGAGAGGGTGGGGAGGCACTGGGACAGGTTGCCCAGAGAAGCTGTGGATGCCCCATCCCCGGAAGTGTCCAAGGCCAGGCTGGATGAGGCTTGGAGCAACCTGGTCTAGTGGAAGGTGTCCCTGCCCATGGCAGGGGGGTTGGAACTGAATGATCCTTAAGGTCCTGCAGTCAGCTAAAACATAAACGCTACCTCAGGCACAGCCTCTGGATTGCTGCTGGGATATCCCAACAAAGCAGGAAAGACAGAGCCTGAGAACACGTATTTCAACAACAAATCTTCCACTTAGTTACTGTTTCTGTATCTTCCCTCTGAAAGGACGTGACTTCCTGTTTCAGGGGGACTTGCTACACTACAACGCAGAGGAGATCAGAGTTAGGGAATCATCCTTACTTTTTCCGATGCTGTTGCAATTCTTGTTCCCTGCAGGTTTAAAGCTATACAGCTCAACACTCCTTCATGGGCCGGTATGTCGACAGGAGGCTTTTCTGTATTCGCGAGATCCACTATCTGCACGTGCCCAGTGTGTGTCCCAGGAAATGCAAGAAGAGAATTATTACTATTTGGACAAAGGACACAGAGACCTAAAAGACAATAAAAAAAGAAAGACAAGAGACAGTAACTGTGTAGTTTCCATACCCTAATAAAGCTCTCAAACACTTCAGAATAAACAAACGTAACGTAGGAAATCAGAGTTTCATTCTAATGGAGGTTGCGCTACCCGAATGCAATCCGTCCCTCAGTGCAGAGCACAGGGAAGTAGGGGAGTCCCGTGATTTTAGCTTTCCATCATCACTATTGCCCAGTGATCGAGTTGTGGTTGTCCAGAACCCAGATGTTTTCAGAGATCAGCTCCATCAGGCTGTTGGAGCAAAGACTACGAAGCCCCAGAGGTCTCCTTAGCAGCCGGAAGCGGTAACAGTTGGCAAGAGGCGGTGCTTCAGTTTCTCCTCCGTCAGTAAAACTGACGGGCACTCATCCCCACCTGAACTTGGGTCTTAGGGCACTCTTCCTTTTGCAGCCCGCTTACAGCAGACCCCGCCTCTCCCAGGTGCCTGCTGACAGCGGGTGAATCCCCGCAGACTCAGTCCCCCGCCAGCGGAGCAATGAGCCTCTGCCGCCCCCAGCCCTGCCAGGCGGTTGGCATCCCGGCCCTGAGCACGGCCTGCCCTCCCGTGCCTGCTCCCAGCCGGCGTGAAACCCTCTGCAGAGGGCAACGCAACCTCCTGGTGGAGAAAACACCTTCCCAACGCCCACGCTGATCCTCCCGAGACACCGAGCACAGCCAACAGCCCTTGTTCTACTGTCTGGCACTACGGAGAATTCCGCTCCATCTTCCTGCAGCCGTAAGCCACGCACAGCTAGGCCAAAGCGTGCGGCTGACCCCGGAGGGTGCTCACCTCTTCCCTCTCAAGGCTCCTTCTGGACAGCACCTCCCTCTTCCAGTAAAGCCTACTGCAACAGGACCGTTTCCTTCGCTCAAACCCAGGCCCTACCGCTCCCACATGGAGCCTGGAGCTCCCACCACTCCACCACTGCACGAGACAGTGCCTGGCCTGGGGCACGAGTACTGGGCTTGGGTCAGGACACCGTCTGCTCCTTTCCCCAAAACCCACAGCCACACCTCGCTAATTAAAACAAAAGTGCCAGGTTGCTAATTAGGCTCAACACTGTAGAACAGAGCAGACCATGAGAAAAGAGGAATGATGCGCTTTTAACAGGGTCTGTGTTTATAATTAAGCTTTCAGCACAAAATACATCACATTTAAGAGCTGTATGTCGCCTTCTGTAAAGAGTCTGTACGGAATGAAACCTCTAACAGGAGTACCTGAAAAAGCCTTTTCTGTACCAAGCCTTAATAGACTTTAACAACCATCTTACAAACACCAAAGCATCTCCAAGAGGCACAACTGTGGTGCAGCAATCCAAAGCGACTTCCTAAGTGACCCGGATTCAGGCAGCTGAAGATACACAGCACGCGAAGAGCAGAGTAACCCTCCCTCCACTCCCCAGGCTCACACACAACTCACCTTTCGGGTTGTAGCAGGTTTCGAAGACGTGCAGCTGGTGGGGGTTGTGTGTGAACGTGAAAACTTTAATCATCGAGTCCAAGACAACCACAATCCTGAAAGAGACAAAACGTTCCTATGACTTGGGGTGGGTAAAACGGGGACATACATATTGATTCAGATCTGCCAAGGCTTTCAACTGCTTTAACGGCTAGATTCTCCCCCTCCCCGCAGAGTTATGGCCTTGCAAAAGCCACGCAACTGTGAGGCTGCAGAGCACTTCTCCACAGCTGTACAGCAGAACCCCTCTGCCCACACAGACTCCAGCAGCTGAAGATGCTCTTGCTCTGGAGATCCGTTTGAAATCCCTTCACACCTACAAAAAGGCAGCAGTAGCCACATGAGAACGTTTCCCTCCGACAGGGGCCAGGGAGCCTTCCAGGCTTGGCACCCGGGCTTAGGATACCAGGGCTGTGATCTGTTAACACCCAATGCCTGCCCCCAAAAGCCTGCTTTACCCTAATTGCATGATCTCATTCTTTCCACAGACTGCTGGCACTGGATGAGAACAGCCTCCAAAGCCAAGCTGCGTGTTCAGAACACGATCTTTGCACCTACCTATCTCTTCGCAGCTTAACTGCTTTGACTTCTGTCGAAAACTCTATCTCAATGACAGTCTTCTTCTTCAGGTCATCCCAGATCATCACTGGAAGAGTGCAGAGATTGCATCAGATCATCAAGGCATCTCCAGAGAGCCACACTGTCTCCACTCTAACAACTTCTGGCTTCTGAGAAGATGGCACACCCAACAGCCAAGCAGAGTGGCATCCCGCTAACCAGAAGGTGTTCAGCTACCACGCATCAGCCAGCTCCTTCGCACCCGCCCCCTCCTCCCTGCTGACTCGTGCAGGTAGGAGCTGGAGCACTCTAACCACAAAAGCTCACAATAAAAATACATTTTTCTAAAAGAAAATTGGGGTGGTTTTTGTTTGCCCTGAGCCTTATCAAAGAAATACAGCAGCAAAACCAAAGCAGCATGGTAGGCTACACAGCGTGCCAGCCAGGGACCTTTCTCCCTCAAGTTGCTGAGCCAGAGTGTCTCTGCAGAGTTACCCCGTGAGAATCACAGAAGCACTAAGGTTGGAAAAGAACTCTAAGATTATCCAACCCAACCATCAACCCAACACGACCGTACCCACTAGACCATGTCCTCAAGCGCCACGTCTACATGTGCCCTGAACACCTCCGGGGCGGCACAGCCTTGGTCAGCAGGTCACTGCAGGCAGCTGCCCGTTAGCCTGGCAGCAACAGCGACGTGGTGTTTCACCACGAGACGTTCTGTCTGGGAGTTTCACACAGAACACCTGTGAGACCTACTCCAAGACTCACCTTTGTTAGGTGGGTACTTCGGCTTTTTTCCTCCACCTACTAGTGCTAAATAGTTGCAGCGAAACAACATTTCGACGTGGCCAACGCCGCCTTCTAGAAATTCTGAAAGACAAACGTATTTTAGTTGTGTCAGAACCTGTTAAACTGCCATCTCATTTGTAACACTGCTACCAGAAATGCTGGCGTTCTCTAGCGCTGCTCCCAGGCGCCTCAGAGGCGCAGCATCTCCCTGCCCTGGCCGGCCTTAAACAGGGAATCCTCTGGGACAGGGATGACGGACAGGAGATCTGACTGAACGGGTGGGGCTTTGGGGAATTTTGGTTTGTATGCTTAACATTAGGATTCTCAGCAGCTGCTTTATTTTTCACAGCAAGGAAGATCACCGTGGTTGTCACGCAGGCGGGACAGCTCTCGTTTTCACATGCAGAGAGAACACAGCGAGGTTTCACAGTTACATTAAAACGTGCTGCATGACAGGAGATGCAGCGGCGTCACCAGGGCAGCTGGGTCACTTCTGTAAGACACCAGGCTTGTAAACGTGTTCAGAACGAGCGTCCAGTTAGCCCAAGTTCCTTCCCTCACGCGCGCACGTTGCAGACCTGGTGTTGCTCTGTTCTGCTCACTCTGCATCTGCAGAAATGCCAACAGCACTCCTGAGCACAAACCTTTTTGTTTGCAGGGGGATGTGTCTTCATAGACTTGGAGGATTCGAGGGAGGAAGGGAAAGGCACGTAGGTGTGACTGAGCTAGACCCTAGAGCTGTTCTCTACAAGAGGCAGGGAGTACGGTCCAGCTCCAGCGAGCCGCCGCTCGCTACCGCAGGAAGCCGTGACAGCGAGAGAGACCGGCTGGTGCAGTTTCCCTTTTGTAGTGCAAGGAAAAGGGTTTTTCTTTAAGCATCTCAGCTGCAGAGGAAGCAGAGTGAGGTGCCATGCTCATGGTGCAGGTGGAGGAACAAATATCAACCAGGGGGTTTTATACCAGAAGAATTTTTCTGTTTGATGGCATTCGAGGCAGGACTTGGCTTTGCTTGCACAGCTGAGGGGGATGCCTGGCGTTCCAAGAGGGGACTGAACTGTCAGGAGCAGAGGCTGTAACTGTGGCCTTCAAGGCAGGTGAGCAAAGTTAAAAAACAAACTTCTGCTTTAAGAGACCGTGCAGTTACTCCACACGCTGGCAGGCGGCAGCGGGAAAGGTGGATGAAACCAGGAAACCATTTCATAGCCAGAGGAAGAGGTGACGTTTCTTTCACAAGGCCTCGAGAGAGACCTGCTGGCAGAAACCAGCGAGAGGGTCTGAGGAGCTGGGAGGAAGCACCACGCTGGAGAGACGGAGGCATGTGCGCGAGGGGCAGGGCAAGGGAGGCGATGCAGTTAGACACGGCAGCGCATCTGGGTGAGGGATGTCTGTGGGACATGACCGCACACGCTGAAGGTGGATGTCTGGGAAGGGATCCATACCGGAGCAGTAAAGCCCTGGATTTCCTACAAGTCCGTGTGGTTTCTTCAACAGAAACGGACTGCCGTTCTTTTGACTGCCACAAGTCCGTGTGGTTTCTTCAACAGCAGTTTTGACTGCTGAGTTTCCTTCCTGAACAGTCGCACTTGGACACCACCCCCCTGCACCAGATCCTCCTCTTAACTCCATTAAAGCGTCTAAAGCACGACAGTGGACTTTGTAACGAAGAGGAATTATCACGGCAACAAACCGTCTCAGAGCAGTCAGGAACGACAGCCCGAGACAAGTTAAGAACGCGCCATGTGTTCTGGATCGGTGTTAGAACAGACACTTCAGTCACTGTCTTCACAGTGCTGGCAGGCGATGCCTGCGCAGGGAACTCCGTGCAACGCTAGGATGTAAGAGGGAAGCCCGGGTGTAACAGCTGAGACTTGGTGTCATGCTAGGGTAGAGATCAATTGGATAGTCCCGGATGGAGACTGTCTGTCTCCGGTAGGTTCAAACACACAGGGAAGCTGCACAAGATCTCTCTGTAGCTCTGCAGCCAGCACAGCCTGACCTCTTGGAATCTGGAGGCAGTCTGGCTCAAAGAAATGTGTCAGGACAGGAGTCCTGGAATTCTGTCCAGAGCTACTGGCAGGGGGGTTTTGGCAAGGAACTCAGCAGGGCTTCAACCTCAATTCTCACCCTTTCAGCACACCATCACAGATGATAGTCCCAAGGCACGTCGCTTATGAGAGAACAGAAGATGCTCCGAGGGCTGGAGCACCTCTGCTATGGGGACAGGCTGAGAGTTGGGCTTGTTCAGCCTGGAGAAGAGAAGGCTCCGGGGAGACCTTATAGCACCTTCCAGTGCCTGAAGGGGCTACAAGGAAGCTGGGGGGGACTTTTTACAAGGGTCTGTAGTGACAGGACAAGGGGTAACGGGTTTAAATTGAAAGTGGGGAGGTTTAGATTAGATATCAGGAAGAAGTTCTTCCAGGAGAGGGTGGTTCAGCACTGGGACAGGTTGCCCAGAGAAGCTGTGGATGCCCCATCCCTGGAAGTGTCCAAGGCCAGGCTGGATGAGGCTTGGAGCAACCTGGTCTGGTGGAAGGTGTCCCTGCCCATGGCAGGGGGGTTGGAACTGGATGGTCTTTAAGGTCCCTTCCCACCCAAACCATTCTATGGTTCTATGAGAAAACAGCTTTCAGCTTGGGCCGCATGAACAGTGACTGAAATCTCTTACAGCACTAGGAAGTGCAAGCCTGCCTGGCTGCACAGGAATTGCCGTTTCAAATACATTTCTCCTTATTAAATCTTTTCTATCGCCACAGGCTGGAGGTGCTGGGAAACCCGTTCAGCATGTCAGCTTTCTTCCTAGGTTTAGGGCTAGAATCACATGGCTAGGATTAATTTTCCCTTATTTCAACTCGGTTATATTTGCTTCCTGATAAAGAAGCCCCACTATCTGTTACTACAGTTCATGTAGTCGTTCCTGTTAAGACATGATACTGGGTTTATCACCTCAAGATCCTCCCAGATGTTTTTAAGTGTGCAGTGAATCTAAAGTTTGGAGCATCAGAGGTCTGAGCTCACAGTGCTCTTGCGTGCATTACTCGTAGGAAATGCTATGTTTAGATTCCCAGTAAAAAGGCGTTAGATTGATTGCTGTACCAGATACGGCACAAGAACCGAACGACTCTCGATGGTACCTAACGCCACCGCAGCCAGCAACTCTTCCCCCACTGCCAATAACCAGCAACAGCTCGCGCAGTTCAGCCTCTGGGAGAAGGGGAGACAAACGCATCCTCAGCCAGGTGTGTGCAGATTCACGGCACCTGAACATCTCACCAGGCAGTGGCAGAAGCGACTGTCCCTTTGGGACCAGCATGGCCTTCCCTTCTTCAGGCTTCCTTCCAAGCCTGCCAGCGACGGAGCGGCACAAGCTACCAAGAACCTTACAGAAAGAACTGAGGAGACAGAGCTTCCAGCACAAACTGGCATGGCATACATAGTAAGCATTTTACCTTGTTTCTCTTTTTCTTTGAGTGGATCTGCATTATAAACCCGGAATCCATTTTCCATTCCACATGCAAAGCATCCTGTAGTAAAAAGCACACATACAGACACATATATAGTAACTGCGAGATACACCCAGGGACTAAGCGAGAGGTAGAGGGTTAAGAGCGTCACTCGGTAACAGCCTGTTAAACTGGGCTGGAGACCGCGTGCAGGCTCTGTTCGTGGTGGCAAGTACGAGTCGTTCGGAGCAGCTGTCCTCTGCTGGAAGTGGGAAGGTCTCAATATTCCTTTTAGACAGATGAGAAAGCAAGGGAAGGAAAGAGAATGATTCCCAACCCACCTGTACCCACTGCCATGCACTACGGGGGGAAGGAAATCTCCATTTGGACTTCCACAGCCCAACAGTCGTTACGGAGCCAAACCCCTCCTTTCTTATTAGATCCAAATCTGCACTGCGACTCCAACCCTGTGAACTATGACCCGCTGCTCGTGTTTCCACACGAGAGCTGCTCACACGCAGTTTTTACGAACGCTCCAGCGGGAGCCTACCGAGTCAGATGCCACAGGTACAGGCCAGTAGCTCCAGTCCAGGGGATGACTAGAAGCCAGGTGAGTTACATTCACGTGCAGAATTACGCGTGTGCCTTTTCAGTGCAATCCAAACTCCCCCACTCCTGTCCTGCTGCTTTACTCGCTGAGGGGGGAGGGCAGTTACTAGCACACAGAACTGCCAAGTGCAGCACAGCTAGCGTCGCGAGAGGCAGGCTGACAGACGATTAGCTGCCACACGGTCCGTATGTGCTGGATAACGAATCCAGTTAACATCTTCAAGGTACTCGAACAGAGATATTCAGATTACAGTGCACAAGAGTAAAACCAGACTAATGACTGCAATGATTTTAACACCCCTAATCCAAATCAAGAAGCTATGTCTGTATGTACTCCTTCCCCAAACCTATACCCAAAACCAGAGGGTGGGTGGGGAAAGGATGGTGGGAAGGCTTCACTCCCAACGTAAGGTCTCCAAACCATTTGCTCGTAGCCAGGGACCCGTGATTTCCGCCACGCAGACCAGACTGGTTTGCTGCGGAGTGACGGCTCAGAAGCTGGCAAAAAGGCTGGGGCCGTTTCAGGAACTCCTGGCTCCAAAGGTGGACAAACAGCCAGCAGTGCCTCTCCCGGCACAGGAGCGACTGCGGTCTGCGCCCCACGGCCCTAACGAAAGCTCAGCTGAGAAAGCTGCATGCGCTCGCTGAAAAGCCAGTGAGCAAGAGTCAGTGACGCTCCTATCTCACGCAGGTTAAGCTGTCAGAAGACTCAACTCTGCTGGGGACGTGTTTTTCTTTTTTTCTGGCCATTGCAACAGCGACTGCTGTAAAGGAAATCCACTACGCAGCACAAACAATACAAAAATGTGTAATAAACAACAGCGTTAGTTTAAAAACTCCACCATTTGGGAGAAATGATGCAGCCAGTCTGAGATTCCTTTTTAATACTTCAGGAGTTTCCTTCAAGTAGGACCACTTAAAAAAACCCAACCAAGCACACAACCCCCAACCAACCAAAACTCAGCAGCCACAGAAAAAGGCACCACACGCATCCTCTGCTGTCAGACCAGTGTCTTATGCGGTGTGGGGGGGTGTGTGTTTGCCAGCATCCGTGGGGTTCCTACTCACTGAACTCACACGTACAAAGGAAAAATGACTATGGGATTCATCTCTGCACTCTGCGATGGAGAAAGGAAACAATTTAATCCTCTTAGTCTACGTACAGTCATGGACCCAAAGTACAGGGCTGCGCAAACAGCACAGAAGGTGGCAAAACAGTGAAGACAGACACCCCCACAAACCCTACTCCCCCAACCAGAGGCACAGACACAACTTCACCCCGTCCGAGATGCTGTAATGAATGAAACACAAAAGGTGCTTGTTTACATGTAAACACCTAGAGGGTGGTTAACCAGCCTATAATGATTAGATTAGCAAACATAGCAAAACAGCCACTTTTAAGCCAACTATATTCACTTCTCCTCCCTCTCTGCGCATCGTCCCTTCGTTGGCCCTGCCAGCCGAGCGCGTAGGGGTGCGCAGCGCTGAAACGGCCGCGCGGGTAAGGTGCCACCCCGTGCCGTACGCTTCCCTGGGAGAACTAGAAAGCGAGTTACAACGGACACATTTCTCTCTACACAAAGCCGTACCATACAGGATGAGAACAGATCTGTTGCTGGTAGCTGTAGTGTGTAGCCATGTAATTATTTTTCCCGCAGCAGCTTTATAACACAGCATCGCGTTTCCAGGAGAGATGGAGAGGGACGCTGACGCTGTTCCATAGCAGAAGAGCTCTGTAGGGTTTTACTGGTGTCAGTACCAGCAGCTTGTAGCAAACCCAATCAGAACACGCCTAATGCAATCAAACGCAGACATGACGTTTCCTGTAGCACCACTACAGCTCTTCTGCAGGGCCAGACTCGTGACTAAGACGTGGGCTGCTTTTAATGCCTTGGGAATATCTACATTTTTACCTGGAGACAATACACCCGGACTGAGGGCGTGTGAGGAACAGCAATAGTGCCCCAGAGTCGATCATTACCAACAGAGGCACAAAGTTCTCTGTCATGGCAACCCCGCAGCCAAACAAGGGGAAAAAAAACCCATACAGGAAGACGACTGCTACTCATTCAATTCCAGGTTACAGGAAAGGCTTCAGAGCCCCATGTTTCCCACCTGCCTGACCGCAGTGAGATGACAAGTTCGACAGCTCAGCACAGCCTGCAGGCTCTGCTGTAGGAGAGCTGGGGCTGGGCTGCCAGAAAAGGGAGTTGCGGCAACAGCAGGCATGCCTCCTGCCAGGGGAGGTTCACATCTCCTTTAAGAAGGGACAGACACGCTGCCAAAGAGCCACCCACAGATGACAACTCCGATACTTCCATAAAACCCAATCAGAGGCTAGGAAAAACAATCTGGGCAGAACTACCACCCTAACCCGCAGCAGTGCTTGTTCCTGCAGCAGAAGTACTGTTTGCCAGCAGTCCCAGGGAGGCCACAGTGGGTTTTGTTTTTCTAAAACCAAAGAAAAAGGAAGGGTTGTTACTGACTACCCCAGAAGATGCCACAAGCTGAAGGGGGCACGCTGACATAAAGAACTCCGCAGGCTTTAGGGCCTAAGCTCCAGAAGTTGCAACAGTGAGGTCTAGGGCTGCGGCAGGGGCAGTTCCCAGCATGTTTTCCTCCCCACAGCAAACTTTACCTAAAGCCGTAGGAGAGCACAGAATCCCACTAACACTGCTGGGGTCCTAGAGCCAAGCACTGCAGTCCACTAAAGGAGAGGAAGTGAATAAGCCAAGTGTTTCACCACCAAAACGCGCCCACACCGCAGTTTCCAAACTAGTTTTGGACTACCACAGCGACAGAAGAGGCTCCTGTCAGCAACTTACACGTACCCTGTGCAGTGCGGTAATTTATTATGATGTTTTATCTATTCATTTCTGTAAAGCACTTGAATGTCCTTCTGAAAGCACTCAAAACGTGCCTGAAATCAGGAGTACCCCAGCTTGAAATTCAGACCCTGAAGTCAGTGTTCTAAAACAGCTGAGCACACCTTGCAATAAGGGCCTGCCTTTTCCGTTTGTTACATTGTTTCTTTATTTTTATTCATTTAAACCCGGAATTGGCAAAGGCACCCAATACCAAAATATAGTATCACTCAGAGCAAAGGAGGCACGTTTCAGGAAAACCTGCAGGCACTTGTCAGTCATGGGAGCCAAGGCTTGGAGAGACTTACTACAGCATTCCTCCCATCTTCCTATCGCTATGGGATTGGCTCGTCTTCCTAAGAAATTAGGTTATTGTGACAATATATGCAGACACCCACACTACTAAGCTTCAGCACCCAAGTGATTCACATCTCTATTTTTGGTAGAGGCGACAAGGAAGAAGTGAGCTTTTCCTCTTATCTCCTCTTTGAGCAGCCAAAGAATTACCATCCCTTTAACATTTTACTAATTTAGGGCCTTTTTTAAAAGTTAGCACACTGCCTACAGTTCAGAACTCATCATTCCCAAGCAGGAAAGGCTCCAGGAACCTGCAAATGAGAGCCAAACGTGGGTTTTGTTCAAGTTTGTTGTTATTCCGTTGGCTGGCCAGGCTAGGAAGCACAGGACTGGAATGCTGTAAGGAATAAACTTCTCAGCTTACAGATTCCCAGGACAAATTCCTTAACATACTTTGCATGTGACATTATTCAAAAAAGTGTTCATGTTGCATTTACTGATACAGAATTTAAGGAAGCCTTTGCAACAGAAAACAAGTTTTACATGCTAAAAGATGATTCTAACGGTATTTTAGCTTCTTACATAGTTCTCTTTATAACCCAGCCCCACCCTAGGCCAAGCATCAAACATCACTGCCTCACTACAGATCCCTGCAGGTCTGAAATAACGCTCACAAATCCCTTTTTCCATCCTTGTTGCAAATGCAAGATGAAAACAAGCATAGAATTGCTGAAAACCAGACTAGTGCATTGTTTTCTCTTCAACAGGCCAGCATGAAGAGAGCTACCAAGCAGCTCACTTCACTACTAGCTGGATATACTGCTGACAAAAGGTCAGCTGGGGTGTTAGACTAGAACCAACAGAACAATTTGTGTTTACACACGACTTCACCAGCATCAGCAACAGGTACATGAACTGCAGTCTACAAGGAGAGGCTGCGAGACTGTCTTAGGCAAGAGTATTATTTGTCAAGACAAAAGGATATTACAAAACTATGACCTTCTTATTCCTAGTCCACAAAAATGACACTTACTCATAAGACCGGTGCTATTTTTATGTTGCAAAAGCAATACAAGACATAGGCACCCCCTTTCTAGAAAAGGCCTTCCCCTTTCTGACAAAACCACCCCAAGCATTCGGTTCTGAAGCTGTTCAGTGGCCCGCGTGCCTGCACTCGTCCGCCAACAGCATCAGTAGCTTTGATCACCGTTGTCAAGATAACAAATGGGACAGAAAAAGAAAAGTTACACCAGTGATTCTGAACGCAGAGTGCTCACCCTGAGAAAGCGCCGTTCTGCGAGCACC